CCAGAAAAATTCAATTTTACTTTTTTCCCTATTACTAATGAGACTGCTTCCAATTTATGTGCTGCAAAAACTGATGCCGGCTTTTAATTGGTTAGAACATTAAAGAATCAGACACACAAAACAAGCTGTTCATTAAAAGAAAGTAGAAGAATTTTGAAAAATTAATATAGTTGTTTTACTATTTGGAGACTTAGACAACTTCTGCTTTGAGATTTTTCAGCTTCAGATATAATCTTTTTCTTTAAATACGATGATATGCAGCAGTGCCGTCGTCTTATATAGTATTTTATAGGTTTCTTGGTTCATCTAGTAATCATCCCAGACAATGCGAGCTTGATTTACTAAAGCAATACTTTCTATGGGTGTTTTTCAATTTCATTACGTATCACTGGTAAAGCAGTCATGATATATAATGAATGTTCAGTTCAAGCAACAGACAGGTCAGAGATTAGGAAAAGAATGGCATGTAGCAATAATTTTATCAGTTTGAAAACAACCCAGGTAACTCCCAAATACAAGGTGCTCAGCAAAGACCTGAATGTGGGGTAGGCACATTTTTTACATAGTTTCTAAGCATGTGCTCCCAGCTGGAATTTACAACAATACTGGGTTCACAATTCTGCCATTCAAAAAAGCAAACTCATCCCCATTTGAGCATCTTGTAGCAGGCTGTGTTGCAAAATAGTGCTCCTCAGGGATACTGCCATCCTCTCAAAAGTGCATTAGGCTGGATAGTTGTAGCACTTGAAAGTGTTGATATACGTTAATAGTCTTTCAATGTGAATGTAGACTTAATTCTTTTAGAGAAAAATGTTTGTTCTACAGAAAGCAGCGTGAAATGCTAGTGTTCTATTTTTCCAGTACTCTATTTCTTGGCTCAATGCTATTCAAGATCTATATCGGGGTCGGCAACATTCGGCACGCGGCTCGCTAGGGTAAGCACCCTGGCGAGCCGCATGCCGAACGTTGCTGACCCCTGATCTATATCAATGATTTGGAAGGAAATACAAAAAAATTGTTTGATAAAGTTCACAGATGATACAAAAATTAGTGGAATGGTAAATGATGACAGGTGAATTACAGACTGATCTGGATCCCTACGCAAGCTGGATTCATTTGAATAACATGTATTTCAATACAGCCAACTGCAAGTTCATACATCTAGGAACAAAGAATGTAGATCACATTTAGAAGATGGAGGACTGCATCCAGTGAAGGAGTGACTCTGGACTTAGGGGTCATAATGGATATTATTTATGTCTATAGCACTGGTGAGACCATTAATGGAATAATGCGTCCAGTTCTGGCATTCACACTTCAAAAAGCATGTTGAAAAATTGGAAAGGGTTCCGAAAAGAGAGGCAAGTATTATTTGAGATAGGGAAAAGCTGCCTTAAAGCGAATGAGTTTCCTAAGTCTATCTAGCTTATCAAGCATCAGGGTAAAAGGGATCTTGATCAAGTATACACACTGGGAGATTTCTGACAGTAGAGGGCTCCTCAGTCTAGCAGACAAAGGCATTAACAAGATCTAATGGGCTGGAAGATGGAGCTGAACAAACTCAGACAATAAATAGGACACAAAAATGATAGGGGAACGCTGATGGTAATTAGCCATTATAACAACTCACCAAAGATATGATGGACTCTCCATTGCTTGAAGTTTTAAAATCAAGATTGGGTATCTTTTTGAGAAATAAACTGTAACTCAACCACAAGATAAGGGATTGATGCAGGAATTACTTGGTGAAATTCTTTAGTCAGCAGACTAGAGGATCAGAATGATCCTTTCTGGTCTAAAAAATCTATGAATATATGTAATTTTGCTTCTAGCTCAGTTCTGGGAAGTAGGACGTGTTTTTCTGCAGAGATTTGAGCTTCCTGTAACACTTTCATAGTGAGGTTTTATAAACATACATATTTTAAATTTGTAAAAAGTACTAATAAAGGATACTTGATTAGGCAATATCCTGAATCTGCAAGTGTAACATCTGGCAAACCAGGCAGGAGAGACTGAACTGTAATGATGATCGAACCTAGCACAGCATTTGCTGTAAACTATACCAGAAATGATGATCAGACGTACATCTGGAGCTGCTACAATGTAATGACAACCAAAACGTGATTTAGCATGAAGAAAGCTTTCTCCAGTTACAAACAATCAGAACAGGATTGCATGTACAGTGCAGAAATTTAAAATGTAGTGATCTTATCCAGGGAGAGCATCAGATTTTGGAGGCTGTCCTAAGAGCTGCAAAATATTGCAGATTCAAAATCCTGCAATTGAAGGTTGAGGCCATAGCTCTTTGGGGACATTTAAATAAGGGTTTAAAAAGTGGTAAAAAGGCTCATATTTAGGGTGACCATATTTCCAAAAGGGAAAATGGGACACTGCGTGGGGCTGGCCCCAGCCACTCGCCTGAGGCCCCGCTCCCTCAGGCCCCACCCCGCTGCTCACCCGAGGTGCCCCTCCCCAACTGTCACTGGTCACTTGAACCCTGCCAGCTCCCCATTCGAGGCTGTTGCTGGTCGCTGGAACCCTGCCTGCCCCCTCCTTCAGCCCAGCCTCCCCCCTGCACGGGGCTAGCATCTCCACTTGCCCCCGTGCACGTTCCTCTGCACCACACCCCACTTTTTTGACAAAAGTGGGCATTTGTCCCATTTGCTCTTGCCAACTTGATCAGTTGGCAACAGCAAATGGGACAAATGCCCTCTTTTGCCAAAAATATTGGGATGGCTGGGACAGGGCTATAAAAAGGGACTGTCCCGGCCAGAACGGGATGCATGGTCACCCTATACATATTCATATATATGTGGGAAAGAGATGAAAGGGGAGGGCAGGAGCACATTTCAGATGACAGCCTGGGTGTGTGTGTAAATTGTTTTTGAGAAGTCCATCAGAGCTGGCCTTCATCGAACTGAGTTATGGTGTGACTAGTGGATCCTGAGATACAGAAATGAGCCTGCTACATCATTAAAGGGACATCACTGCAGTTTGGAGATAAGAGATGATATAAGGTTATCAGATGGAAGGTTTCATAAAAGACTAGGGACTTACAGATACAAGGACATGTTCCACTGTGGAGTCACGAACAGGGAGGTGCTGTAGAAGAAATTGTGCTGATATTACTTAGCCTGAACTGGGAGCACCTCTGAACTTGGTATCAGCTTATGTTTCAGTGTGCTTCTGCCATCGAGGCAAAACATCAGTGTGTCTAGTATAAGCTTACTATGAGCTTCTACCATTCTAACAAATTTTACAGAAACACTCATTTGAATACTCAAGCTGGAAATAAAATGTAGCAAAGTGTCAAATTTCTCTTTCCCACTGCTTGTAATATCATCAGTACAATGAAAAGGTAACAGATACACAGACCTGTAGCTCATATTTCTGCAATACATTTGCTGTGTGCAGCTTAAGCTAGCTTGTGTATCCACATTTCACATCAGAAGCATGGCATATATTCCGCAAGATCTACTCAGTCCACTTCATTTCCCTGAGCTAGAACATGCTGACAACAATAACAACAGAAGGATAAAGGTAAGCTGCACTAAGTTATGACTCTGCACGGAAAGCTTCCAATGCTAATCAACATTAGACGAAGAATGAGATACTGTGGGATGATTCAAACAACCTGATTAGCTAATATATAGGGGAAGAGTTATTTAGATAAGCAATAAATAAATAAACTTATTTTATTGTGATAGTTCCTTGAGGCCTCAGGGTCCACTGCTGTACAGACTGAAAATGCATATTTTATTATTTTTTAAAACATGGGTTATGATATTTCTTCAACTGATATAATAAACTGCAATAACAACTTCAGTGCAGTGAATTTCCTCAGGATTAACGACTAGCTCGATTCAGTGATCCTTGATGGCACTCCAGACCATCAACTTCTCCCAGCGGGTCATAATATTCCTTTGGAAATGCCTTGTGACTCAATCATTATTGTTTAACCCCATCACTGCTAGTATTCACAGCAGTGTGCAGCCTGCAGCAGAATGTGGTGCTATGCCGTTAAGAACCAATGTTTTCTAGACAAAAATACTGTGACTTCAAATAGGATGTATGAGATACTTGGGATGGCATTAGAAGTGTATTTTTCCCTGCTTACCTGGTAGCACTGAAGCAGGTAACTATAAATTATAGAAACAAATTGATGGTCTAAAGCTTAAAGAAGATATAACTCCAGCCATTCAGAAACCTCGTCAGTCTGGTAAATTCAGTCACCTTTCAAAAACTTACATTTTTATATGAACAAAGGTCTTTAGCACAAAACAGGCCTGCTCTGTGAGCCAAGTTCTCTGAACACAACCAGTCCAAAATGGCACACCGAACAATTTTCACTATATTGTACCAGTACTTCAGAGAACTATTACATTTACATCAAAATTAAGTAACTGCAAGAGAGTTCTAATATTTATGCTCTCTGGTTTGTAAATACATTTCTTTTTCATATCAACATAATCTTTAACCCCACCCTCATCATTTATGCAGCAGAGGAATAAAATTGTCCCATCATGTTATTTCAGACATATTGCTAAAAATTCCTGTTGAAACCTATGTTATACCCACTTTGTTGCCACATGATCTGCAGATTTCAGTGACAAAGCATTACAGTAATAGTGACTGGCCACCTATTTTTACCATTATCAAAACTTCCCCAAATTGTTTAACTACTTCCCTTAAGCCCTTGCAATGTTGTTTTTATTTCTAAACGACACATCTAGTTATTTGGCCACTATATTGAAAGGTGGTAGTTAAACAAAATGTACAATTACTTTGTCATTGCTTTATAGTCTCATGAATATAGGAAAAGCTAGGGTGAGAAAAATGGTACCAAGAACATTGTGTGTGTAATACTAGTTATATTTAAAATAAAACTTTTCTCTCTCATATACACAAACATACAGACTGTACACACACACACATATATATATATATATATATATAAAATGTATGTTAGTTTTTTCCTTTAATATTTTCATATTTCTTACCTTAGCCTTGAATTCCATTTCCATGTGCTCATGAAGTAGCTCTTCATTTTCTGTTAAAGATGAGCCTAGATTTTGCTTATGTAGATAATCACTCATATTTTTCCTGTACCAAGATGTTACCTAGATAAAAAACAAAAATGAGATTTTCAAGAGTTGAGAAGAATTTCAAAAGGTGAGAAATAATTGTCCAACCTTTCAGGTGTATTAAGTGAACCAACTTTGTCTATAAATTAAGCCCCAATTTTAGATAAAACATGAAAACACAGTGCTATGTAATTCAAAAGTTCATATACCTACATGAAATGGGAATATATGTAACAAAACAAGACTTGTTTTTCATAAAGTATGTCAAATGATTTATCAATCAGTACAGTGGGTGAGACTGAAGGAAAAGAAAAATCAGGTAGTAGTAACATGTGGAAGACGACATACATAGTCTAAAATGGTAAAGAAATCATACATTTTTCCTAGGAAAAATGCTCTCATGTACAGTAGGTGACTATAAATCTGAACATATTTACAATGATGCATAAAAAGCAATGACTAGATGACCTGATAGGTCTTTTCTAACTATAACTTCAATAATTCAATGAAGCTACTGTACTGCATTATATAGAGTAATCTTTTGTATTCCAAAAAACAATTACAGCTTGCTAGATTGACTGTAACAAGAATATTGAGCAAACAAATGCAGTAGTTAATGTATCTCATAAATTGCACAGAATGACTTGCATGTACTTCTACTTGATGCACAATAGGTACCTTATACATCCCTTGTAAACAACACATGGCAAAGATCCCTGAGTGAAGCTTTGCATTTTAAAATAGTACTGGGAATCAGTTAGTACCTACGAAACCTGCTCCAATCTTTTCCAAGTCTTGCAAAGCCACCATCATATTCTATGTATCACATTTAAAACTCCTTTGTACAGTAGGAAGAATATAGACTTGAAAGCATGTCTCTAAAAATTTCCTGAGATCTGCTTCTGTGAAGGCCTTTTTTAAATTTTATTTCATTCTGTATTTTTCTAAAAAGCAAAAGAACCTTTATAACAAAAAATGCTTTCAACACATCTGAAATAATACAGTGGACAAATTACCTAAGGACTTCAACGGAGCTAGGAAATTAAACAGATTATTAATGTAATTAAATTTTAATTTGATGGTAGAGTCTCAAAACTACTTTCTAAAGCACCTCCAAGTTATTTATTGACACACAGGGGACCTCGTTTTTCTGCACACAATCCTGGTGATATATGTTACAAACAAAAGCATATGGGAGTTTTGTATGTGCCCTGCTTCAAAAAAATACAATTCATAAAATAATTCTCTTTTAATTATTTGAACAAAAACCAAGGTAGTGTGAAGTGAGAATTGAGTGACCAGATGTCCCGATTTTATAGGGACAGTCCCAACTTTTGGGTCTTTTTCTTATATAGGCTCCTATTACCTCCCACCCCCTGTCCTGATTTTTCACATTTGCTGTCTGGTCATCCTAAGTGAGAACTATTGTCACAAAAGCCATTCACATTTGGTAACGCATATGATATTTTCATTTTCAAGGGAGGGATGAGCTCTCACAAGCTCTCATTCTCAGTGGAAGGTTTGTGGTAGAGGTGGACCCAAGTCACAAAGTTCAGATTGACACTTTGATCAGCATTAGAGGCATTTGGACCAGGCCCATCTCTGGAATACAGCATGACACTGGTTATTTTGTGCTCTCAAAAATGGGGTTAGAGCTGTACAAGTCACCCTTTGATGAAGACAGACCTATAAGGAAGAAAGTTGATTATGTAGAATGAAGGGATGAGTGGAAGCCCAATGGAGTCTTGGAGTAATGTTTACATACCTGACTGAATCAAATCAAATTTAAAACATAGGGATCAGACCAAAATTTTGAACCGTGAAGCCTTTCCTTTCCTCTTTCCTTATCCCCTCAAACATAGACTTACCAATGCAAAATTATGAAAACATTTATACTGGGAGAAGACATACAAAACATGTACTTCACGTCTATCAAAATAAAATTGAAAGTGTATGATACAGGGGAAAGAAGAATTTCCCTGTAAATTGAGGCAATTTTCTTTTCTATGGAAAATACTGGCTGTTTGCCAAAACAAACTCATGCTTCTATAGACTTGAGCAGAGGAGTAATAAAATCTTTAACTCTGTTACAGTAAGAAGCTCACCCCTTAGCCACTTGGCAATGTCTATTTTAATTATCAAGAGTGTAAGCAGTTGGGGTTTAAGTACTGCAGATGTCAATGAGTGATATTAGCAGTGTAAGATTATGTCAGAGCTATCTTTGGTGTTTTTTAAGACAGAAGCCCACAGAATTCTATTTTTTCAGAAATTTCTTTTTGGTAAGCTTTTGTTTTTTGTGCACAAGCTACAGGGCATGTTGATTGACTGATAAACAAAACCACTAATTTTTTTAAAACCCTGAGTGCATGACTGCCTTACAGCATGTTATTGACCACAATATTTGCTGTAAATTACCCATGGAAGTAGGAGTTAAAGGATTCCTACCTGTACCTGGAAACTGTTATAAGTTAAAATATGGTAATTGCAGAGTTATCTTAAGCACTTCCATGAGTGTTACCCCTAATCTTTACCCATCCACACACAAAAACATCTCATCCAAGTTCAGTGGTGCTTTAAACCCAGGATAGCTGGCTTGGCTGGGGCCCTAGGCTAAAATCTGAATGAGGCTTTCACTTGGGATTGAAACCTGCCCACTTTGTAGTGAGGACACAGGCCAAACCAATCAAGTGCAGACAGTCCTCCAGTGCCTCCCCACAGTTCCCCCCCTTGTGCCCAGGACAGACAAATGCTCCCATGAGGCACTGGAAAAGCATCATAGAGTGGCTCAGTTTGCTAAAGGATAAGTATGGGACATGCCCCCTGAAGTCTTAGTGACACAGATGAGCACAGCACTAGTAAGGACATAATTCAGGTAAGGCTTTGCCGTGTGGCAGCTCACACCTGGGCTAGACTAATCCAGCTGTTCAGACCTAGGTACCAATCACCTGAGTTAACCCTGTAGTGAAGATAAAGATCGGAGACAAATAGAAAATATGTGAACAGGGAGCAGATTAGGTAGTTTTCTGTAACTGTCTGAAGTAAAACATGAAGGAGTGCTTTTGTTGAACAATAAGAGCTTTATATGCTGGGACACCAACAAAAATATACTGTTAGAATGATATCACTGTAGTTATACCACTATAACTATAGCGATATAATTATAATATAGCAGTAGAGTTCTGCCAGCAAATTTCCTCATGTAGATAAGCCCTAAAATAGTGCCAGCTAGAACAGGCGTTGTCAAACTGTGTCCAAAAAGGGCTTTTGGAAAGATCACATGGTGCCTGGACTTTCCCTGATACAAGTGTAAATGCACGGAGGGGGGGGGGGGGGGGGGGGTCCATGATGTTTTCAACAATTAGAGAAGGGGTTCATGGCATCAGACAATTTGAAAGTCAGTGAACTAGAACAGTATTGATTTTCACTTCATTGGAGTTTTGCAACGGGACAATTTTGCCAATACTGACCATAAATAAATAAATGTGTTTGATTTTGTTCCATTATTCCATTTCTGCAAAACACCCTCTCTCTCTCCTATAACATAAATAGCAGACTTGTTAAAATTAGAATAAGGAATCCAGCGGCAGGAGACACAAGACCTAGAGAACTTAGCTAAGAAGTTCTGAGTTTCACTCCTGGTTCTGATACTGACTTCTGTCATCCCAAGTCTGCCTCTATTTCCCCTTCTCTAACAGGAAGACAATCTTCTCTTTCTGTCTCTCACAGGAGTGTTGGGAAAGTTTATTAGTTAATGTTTGAAGATGAAAAGTCCTGTGTATTATTACTATTGATCCCAGTCTGATGATGATATGCAAAAAATAAAATTTGGGCAAGAATACAAGCTTAATTTTCATCAGTGATGGATCTGTGAAAGGTGTGTTATTGCATGAAACATTTGTGTATGCATCAGTATATCAGTAGTAGAATAAATGACATCACAGGATATGAGACAATTATAAATACCAGGGGGAAGGGGGAGGGGTGTTCAGAAAACTCCCATTAACTTCAATCGGGCCAAGATTTCACCCCAGGTAGCTAGCAAAGGATCATTTTAAACAAATCTGACTAAACAGATTTTAATAATTTAATTACTGGTATGTTCCAGTCTAAATATTCCTGCACTCAGGGTAAAATGTAATCAATGTTTCATTTTTATGAAAACCATTTACAGAAAGCGCTGGGAGCACATCTGAAGACATACGAAGGTCCACTCAGAAATTTTATGCACATTTTTAATTGCTTATGAATTAGGTGAAAATGTCTAGGGTTGTCTCCAACCTGCCAGTGTTGAAACTCAGTGTTTTTCCTTCACTCTAGAGGGCAGCAGCAGCAGAGACCATAGGGGACCCAGCTTTTGGAAAATCAGAAAAGAGCCTATCAGGAGCATACGTAGATTGTTTAGACAGTTCTTCCATAAATCCAAGCAGTTCTGGTGCATTAGTCACTGTTGGAGATTCCCAATTATACTTGTGCATGCTGACATTCAGGGTTTGCTCAGCTCACACTGTGCTTGGTACTAAAAATGGAAACCCGTGCCTATATTTGAAATCAGCTTCCAAACACAGCTATGGCCCCAAACTGTATCATGAAGACAATAATGGTCAAATCACGCCCCCAGTCTTGCATGCTGAACATCTGTCAGTAAAAAAGAACATACAGCTATTAACCAAGCCCACCGTGTAAAGATCAGCAGGAGAAAAGAGTGGGTTTACATTCATTCAGGTAAAGATCCCTCAACAGAACCTTTAAAGGACTGCACTGCCATCGTTATTTTTACATCAATTAAATTGCTAGTAAATGAATTCCAGCACCAAGGGGTGACAGGGCTGTTAGATCTACCTTCTTAACGACACAAGAACTGATAACTACCGGTAGTTAATATTTTTCCTTTAAAAAGAAGGATCATTTCCCTTCTGTGTGTCTGCATGGACTGCAGATGAGGGTGTGCTATGCTGTCCCACAAATCTGAGTTAGCTCTTATCTCTGTCCTTGACACAACCTTTTACCCAGGGACCATGAATAGCTTAAGTTTAATT